CTTGATTTTGTAATTGGTGCCCTCCTCCCTCCTTGCTTCTGCGATGATTTTCCATATAGTAATTCTTTCCTTTTTTAGACTTCCCAGAGTGGGTGGGTGGTTCTTTCTGTGCTCAGACACTTCAAATTGGCGTCCACCCAGCTCCTCCCCTGAGTATTTTTGTGGCTGATGGAGACCTATTATGTGTGCTGGGTATTTGACCTCCAGCTCGTTGTTTGTTTACTAAGAACTTAACCATACCATCCCTTCTTCTTGTTAATTATCTTTTCCTATAACATCCAATATGAGTGTATTTGCTTCCCTTCACCTCATGTGTCCTGAATTCTGCCAGATTAATTTAGCTGGAGCCTAAAAGGCAGCAAAACTGAAGGCAGGTGGCCGAGTTCCAATTCTTGACTCCCGCGTCACAGTCATAATCACTCACATTGATGCCATGGGCTGTGGCTAACAAGCACATCCACATTCGGTAGCTCTTTATCCTCAGTCCTCACAACAACAGAAGCGAAGGCCTCAGGGGTCCACTGACATCCTCAGCATTACATGGCTCAGGCGAGGCAGAGCCTAGGTTTGAACTTGCTCTCCTGATCTTCTGCTCTTCTGATCCCCTACCTTTTCTTTCAGCTTATGCTAAATGCCTTCAGGAAGCAGATAGATGAATGATATAATTGAGTGAAGCTGGTTGAATTTATCAAGGATTAGTAATGACTTTGAGGAACTGGATTGCATACCTTGCCTAAAGGCATAAAAATGCAAAACATTTGATATAGTTTGAATGTGGAAAGTCCAAGTGTTAAATGCTTGATTTTCAGGTGCTATTGACAGTTGGCGTAAACCCTCAGGAGGCTCATAGATCATGGGGGCATCTCCTTGAAGGGGTATGGGACAGTGTTTCATAGTGTTTTTCCCCAATTTCTGGCTCATGATGTTAGTAGCTTTAGTTCTGTAGGTTCCCACCACTACATGCTGACTTGCTACAGACTCAAAGCAAATGGGACCATCCAGTCTTGGACTGAGAACCTCCACAACCATGGGACAAAATAAACTCTTTTCTTTTTTAAGTTAATTGTCTTAGGTATTTTATTATAGTAACACAAAGTTGACCAAGGCAATATTTAAAAAGCAATGGAAAAAATAAAATTAATTTTACCACCTACTCAGTATTCAGTATCTGCCTGTTTGTTAATTAGAAAACGGAGAGCATTTGTGTGTTGTTGCCTTTATTAATGAGCAGTCTTCTATTTATTTATTGGTGTTGGTGTTGGTGCTATAGGAGTTTGAACTCAGGGCTTTATAATTACTAAATAGGGACTCAATTGTTTGATCCATGTCTTTAGCCCTTTTTGCTCTAGTTATTAACATTTGTAGTGTGTGTGTGTGTGTGTGTGTGTGTGTGTGTGTGTGTGCGCGTGTGTGTATGTGTGCGTATGCCCATGTGCCAGTATTGGGGCTTGAACATGGGTCTTTTCAATAAGGCTCAGCTTTTTGCTCACATCTGGTGCTCCACTACTTGATCTACAACTCTAGCCTGATATTTTGCTGCCAAATTTGAGATGGAGTCTCATAACATTTAAAAATGTTATATTATTATTTATTTTTAGATCTAAATTTAGCACATGAGTGAAAACATGCTCTCCTTGAGTTTCAAGGGATGTTATTCAAAGACAGTGACAATGAGATGGGAAGGCTCCCAAGGGACACCAAGTTTACCTTGTCCTCCAGGGTCTGGAAAAGAGGCAAAAGTATGGTTCCTGCCTTTGAGGAGAGTAACCATACCCACTAGGGAAATGTATCCTTGTGAAGGCCATGGACAACCCATAAAAATACCTTCTTTTGTAGAGAGAAGGCCGAGTACCTTCTCTCTAAAACAGGAATTGAAACAACATTGGTTGAGACTGTACCTCCAGAAAGCTATAGTCAGCAGCTGTTACTCAGCCTCGTTCCTCAGCATGTTCTGTAAAATCTGACTAACTGCAATAGTGATGAGGTTGACCCAAGACAAGGCATGTATATTGCTCAGTAAATGTGAGTTATTCTTTGTTATACTTTAAGCGCTGTCTCCTTGCCATACTTTTCAACTGCTCATTTTAGCTGGGATCTAAACAGGCCCTCAAATGCTGGCAGAAGAAATGTGAAGAGAAGAATTCGTAGAACCAGAATCAACAGTATTCTGCCAATTTCTCCTCTTTAGAACTTGCTACTTGCCCAAATGCCCTGATTGCACCTTTTTAAAAAAATTTATTTTTTTGGTCCAGCTCTCTACCCTCAAATGGTCCCAGGGAGCTAAAATCCTGGACAAGGTAGCTGGCACTCTACTGGACAGGATTTGGCTTTCAAATGTGCTTTTGGTGAGGTGAGTCTTCTCCAAATATTCATTCTGATTTAACTGTCATTCAGTCAAATTTTTTCCTAAGGATCTGTTTTATTTTTTCTTTGTCCTCACTTGGCTTCTCATGAGACAGAAAATTAAAACTGGAAGCTTGCCAGGATCTGGTGGCTCACACTTGTAACCGTAGCAACTCATGAGGCTGAGATCTGATGATCAAGGTTCAAAGCCAGCCCAAGCAGGAAAGGCCATGAGACTCTTATCTCCAATAAACCACCAGAAAACTGGAAGTAGTGCTGAGGCTCAAAATGGTAGTGTGATAGCCTTGAGTGAAGAAGCTCAGGGACAGCGGCCAGGTCCTGAGTTCAAGCCCCATGACCACCACCACCAACAAAAAAAGCAAACAAACAAAAACGTGGAACATTCCTTTCCTGGTTTTTAGAGTTTATTTTCATTGGAATGTTTTGCCTATCCAAATGTCAATAGTTCATAGATGATATTGCTGAGACAGAATTAAATTCTTATTAATGTGTGCTTTTTTTTCTTTGAGGCAAGGGAAGGATGGCATTGCTATGCTACTCAGCTATCCTCAAACCTGTAATCCTCCTGTTTCAGCCTCCTGAGTGAAGTAGTAGGGGTGTACACTTCCACATATGGTTAATATGAGGTTCTTATCAATGTACAGAAGTAGAATTGACAAACTATATAATAGGAAACTGAGTTATTTTCCGTTTTCCCCTCATAATGTTCCTGTTGAGGCCAATTGACAAAATGAGAGGCTGAGTAAGAAAAAATAATATGGATGATTCTCAAATGCAGATAATTCATAAGTAGTACTTATTTTAGAATTGAGTCCATCATATGGGGAAAAGCTCTCCCTCCATTCATCTCTCCCTCCATTCTTTCCTCACTCTTTCCTATTCTCCCTCCCTCTCTTCCCCTTCTTCTCCTTTCTACATCTGTACTCATTCCCTCCTGGCTAAGCCAGAAGGAAGGAAGTGGATGAAAAATTGAAATAGATGGAAAGACATTCTGATTCCCAGATTCTAGTTTCAGCTCTGCCACATCCTCACTGAGTATCTTCATCCCACTGGATCTCAGCTTCTTTATGTATAAGTAAATCATTGAGGCCGAACCTCTGAGATGAAAGATCGCTTAAGTTTTTTGTTTTTGTTTAATTTTTTACTCTATGGATTCCACCTTTGCCAGTTTGGGACGGGTAAATCTCAGCAACTGGTCACTAAGATAATCCCCAAAGCAGATACATGCCTGCAGGAGAACCAAGAATCCAGTCTAAATGCAGTGGAATCCAGCTATTTTAATGGAAACTGATGCCTTTGGCTGCCTTCTGGAACCATCAGCCAACCCAGAGCTGAAGCTGGCTGGAAAATTGGATGGATAGCACCATCTCTAAACACAGCGTCTGGGAAATGCCATGGCTCTGGGAAGAGATGGCTGAAACCCTTCCTTTGGTGCAGTGGAAGTGTCAGGCAAACCAGGTTTTGAAAGTTACCCTTGCCACTGACCTTGCTCTCTGACCTCGGGCAAGTTCATTTTCAGTGCCTCTTGTCCTCCCTACAAGGAGGTAGCAATCTATCTATCCTGCTTGACATAGTAAGTGGTAGGGTCCCCAGAGGCCTTGCAGTAGCTACAAAGCATAGGTCCCCGGAAGTACTTAGGAAATGGTAATAATAGTGGTTACCATTACCCTTTATACAGGAGTCTCTCAGGGGGGTTGGGTTTGAACTCCTCACCATGACTCTGTGCCTGAGGCCTAGCCATGCCAGGCAGCCTGGTTCAGAGATACTGCTGATTGGGATGTGATTAAATTCTCTGATCGAGGAACCTCAGCATTTGGGCCCACATCACAGGGCCAACTCCAGCATCGTCTGCTTGGATTCCTCATCAAGCTAGTTTTCAAAAACTTTCCTTTTTCCGGGTCTCATCCTCTTTCCTCCCCTCCCTAGGTCCCTGCCAGAAAAAGAAAAACAAAGCAGGTATGGAGTGCCTGCTTTCGCCCTCCATCTCGAGTGGAGACAAGAGGCCCTTGGGGTTGGCTGTGGGCTGATCCCTGTTCTCTTTGCAAGGCTGGTTGGCAACTCAAACGTGTCTCTTCCTCCACCTCCATCCCCACGGCTCCCGTGCGCTCTGCTGGGCAGGGCCGTTAAGTAGCACTAAGTGCATTTTTCCATTTTTCCAGGATCCACCTGGAAAAACAAAACAAAGCGAAATACAGGAGCCTCGGGCTTGAACTGTCACGATCAGCACGGTCATTTTTTTAAAGGGGGGGAGGGGGAAAGGCGAGGGGGTCACGTGACTGCGAGTAACGGATTGAGCCAAGTGTTCACTAGCGAGTCCGCCGCAGCCCGCCCCGCCCCGCCCCGCGGGAGCGCTGACGTCACGGAAAAGCCCGGTCGCGGGTCTGCGGGGGGGGGGGGGGGGGGGGGGGGGCCCGCTATAAAGCCGGGGCCGGGGCGGGCGCGGACTGCGGCCTCGGCGGAGCCTCCCGGAGCCTCGCGCGGCGCCCGCGCCTCCCCGCGCCTCCCCGCGCCTCCCCGCGCCCCCCCGCGCCCCCCCGCGCCCCCCCGCGCCCCCCCGCGCCCGCAGACACACTGCCGACCCCGGTCCGCCCGGCCGAGCCAAGTAAGGGGGTGGGGGGCGTCCCGCGCGGGCCGGTGGGCGGGCAGGGCGTGGGCGCTCCGGCCCGCAGAACTTTCTCAGTGGAGCCCCGGGAGGTGCGGTCGGCGCCCGCATCCCCTTCCCACCCCAAGATCTTCAGGTGCGAGCGGAGCGCTTCCCACCCGCAGCATCCTCAGTTCAACTCTGCAGGCGGAGGGGACCCTCTTCCAACAGAGGTGTGTGCTCGCGTGCTTGTGTGTGCGTGTGTGTGTGCGTGTGTGGGCGCGCGTGTGTGCGTGTGTGTGTGCGTGTGTGCGCGCGCGTGTGTGCCCGCGTATGTGTGCGTATGTGTGCGTGGGTGCACGCGTGTGTGTGCGCCTGTGTGTACGTGTGTGCGCCTGAGTATGTGCGTGCGTGAGTGTGTGTGCCTGAGTGTGTGCGTGCGTGAGTGTGTGCGTGAGTGTGCGCGCGCGCGTGTGTGCGCGTGTGTGTGGGTATTCGCGCGTGTGTGGGTGTGTGCATGTGCGTGTGCGTGTGTGTGCGCGCGTGTGCGCGCGTGTGTGGGTGTGTGCATGTGCGTGTGTGTGCGCGCGTGTGGGGGTGTGGGGGGGCAGCGGGCGACCCCCGTGGACACCCTCTGCTTTGCGTGCTTGAACAAAGGGCAACTTTTTAAGACCGGAAAAACCAAACCCACAAGCCACCCGGTGTGCGGGTCGTGGGGAGCGAGAGGCGGGGGGCGGGGGGGGGGGCTGGCGCGGAGCGAGTGGGGGCGCTGTGGGCCCCGCCCCGCACGCGCGCAGCTTGCTGACTCAGAGGGACAGCCCCGCCCCGCGCGCCCCGCCCCGCGCGGCCTGGGACCGCAGACTTGGGTGGTGGGCGAAGACAAAAAGTTGTAGGAAGTCGGTGCAGTGTCCTGCAGGAGCGTCTTTGGCGTGGTGATTAACTTAGAGGTGGAAACGTGAGCGGGATCCCCGAAATCTGGGAGTGGATTGGTTTCTTTCTGCAGGAGTTTGATAGGTCGGACCCGGAGCAGGTTGTTTGTTTCCCTGCCGGCATGACCAGGCTTTGGGGCTGAGATCTTTTCACCGTGCGAGCAGGAGGGCAGAGCGGAGGCTCTCCCCTCAAACAGAGATTGCCCCCCACTTCCCCAAATAACCAGGCGGCTGGGGAACACCAGGGCGACTTTACTAAACATGGAAGTTCCCCAAAGTGCCTGTCCAGTCCAACCATGGCCAGTGATGTCATTGCCACGTGTTTCCCACTGAGGCACAAAAGGCTGCAGGACGCCGGTGCAGCGAAGAGCCATGTTTAGACAAGAGTAGCTAACCTGGCCAGCTGGCCTCCAGCAGCACCGACTTGTTGCTTTTTAAGCCATCTCTAGAGGTTGTGGTTTCTTCCAGTGACCTCAGTGCCAGCTCTGAGCGGGGATCCCACGGTTTCTCTGAGGATGGAAGAAGCTTCTGGGCAGTGGGCGATGCTAAGGGTACTTTTTCTCAATGCGAGTGGCAGTCTGCCCGAGGGGCTGATTGTGTGTGTGTGTGGTGTGTGTGTGTACATTTGAAAGGTTGGCTTATTGGGGTTTGGGAACTGTTTCACTGGTATTCTTTACATTAGGAATCCTTGGTTCTCACCCATCTAATAGAGTATCACTGACAACAGACGGTATTTGAGTCCCCTGAGTTCTAGCTCATTCTTACTGAGGTATCTTGGGTGCTCTCCTTCCCAGAACCCCACGATGACTCTGAATAATGTCACCATGCGCCAGAGCACTGTGGGCATGCAGCCGCAGCAGCAGCGCTGGAGCATCCCGGCGGATGGCAGGCACCTGATGGTCCAGAAGGAGCTCCATCCCTACAACCACCGCCACCACCACTCTGCCGCCCCCGAGGACCCCTGTCGTAGGAGCTGGTCTTCCGACTCCACAGACTCTGTCATCTCCTCCGAGTCAGGAAACACCTACTACCGGGTGGTGCTTATAGGGGAGCAGGGGGTGGGCAAGTCCACCCTGGCCAACATCTTTGCAGGTGTGCACGACAGCATGGACAGCGACTGCGAGGTGCTGGGAGGTAGGTGACCCAGCCTGGGTGGGCCTCTGTCTCCTAGAAGTGATCCAGGCAGAAAGAATGAGAGCCAGTGGGTTATTTATCAGCAGAGCTGGGAGAAAAGTTGTGTATTCTTGGTACTGGATGGGGATTTCCAGTCCCTAGAAAGTCCTGACATAGGTCTGCAGGTCAAGAAAATGAAAAGCCTTGTAGATAGGATCAAAGTCTGCTGATCCTAGACCATCAAGGGAACTTTTGAGATTCCAAGTTTGAAGGTCTATGGAGATGGATTAAAGAGCCATAGGTCAACATCCTACTTCTGGCTTTTGCTGGCCTGATTTTGACCATATTTGAAGAGCTCAATATAAATATAACTTTTTTCCACAATTATACTTAAAGTGAAATTGATTTGAATAAAGATGGGAATCATTAGTTTGTATTTACATATGTTAGAGACTTTTGCAAGTGTAATATGATCTAAAATCTTTACTTAAATAGTAAAGTGACAAAAAATTGAAATACAAAAAGGATAGTTTGTGTAGTCTGACAATTTTTCAAGACAATTTTCTTGTAGCCTTATTTCCAATATTTATTAAATTCTTAACTCTTTTCCAAAACTGTTTTGAGGTGATATTATCTTATAAATACATATATTCCTCAACAGTGGGTAAAGCACTCTCTTATATTCTAAGACATAGTATCAGGATCATATTGGCCAACTCTGCCCATAGAATGTCCCTCAGTCATGACTTCAGTTGGTCATGTGGCCAGGGCAGCTATGTATCTCTATCTTCAGCTATAGAAATGAAGAACTGTCAGTCAGGCACTGGCAGCTCATGCTTGTAATCCTAGCTACTCCGGAGGCTGAGATCCGAGAATCTCAGTTTGAAACCACCCTAGAAGGAAAGACTGCGAGACTCTTATCTCTAATCACAGAAAGAGCCAGAAGTGGCGCTGTGGCTTAAGTGGTAGAGAGCTAGCCTGGAGCAAAAGGAACCCAGGAACAGTACCCAGACCCAGAGTTCAAGCTCTAGCACCAGAAAAAAAAAAAAGAAGAAGAAGAAGAAGAAGAATTGTCATGTGCTTGCCCACATCGTATGGTCTGTTCCTACTCTCAGTTACCAGGCATAACTGAATCACAGATTTCCAGGGTAGGAAGATGGCTCAGTGGTGACTCATTTCTCTTCCCCACTCCATAGGTATAAAGTATTCCTCACTACAATGGCGCACTTTACAAGTTTTATTCTCTGGACTGTCTCAGTGTCAGGGAGTTCACTGCCTCAAGAGGCAGCTCAGGAGCTGGGCTGTACATGATGACTCATCGATTTGTCCCCTCACTTCTGGAATCTAAGCAAGAGTCCAGGGAAAAACAGGGCTAGTATGGTATAGTTGATTCTCTTTCTGCACAAACTGGTGCAGGGCTGATGCTAGAAGAGAGGAAAAAAGAGAGAGAGAGAGAGAGAACTTCTATTTGGATGGACATTTATAATGGCCATTTGCAATAAAAGGGCACGTGGTTAGGTGCCTTATATTTGCTGTTGTCATTTTGGTCCTTAGAACATTCCTGTATTCACATGAGTGAACAGGGCCTCAGGGAAGCTAAGTAGTGGATCTAAAATCACCAGTGGGGAAAGTGGGTTTAGAATGTGGCGTTTTATAAGCTTAGTTTGGTGCTACCCCGCTCATTTTACTCATTTAAGGGAGCACTTGCTCTAGCACTGGGCTAGTTCCCATGTATGTTTTTGGCAATACTTATGAGAATAGAATCAATAGAGGCTCATAATCAATAGAAGGTGAAGAAAGCTATTACATGTTTTGTCAGGATCCAGATTTGTGGTTTAACCCAAATCCTGTGTCCTTTCACTCTCTCCTGCAGTCTCAGGATTTAGTTTCTGGTTAACTACATCACCTCTCAGGCAGCTCTGTATCAGGCTCTCAGATACCCAATGGTGGGTGAGCGATACCATATTCTGTTAGGGAGGAGACAAGGGTTAGTGGTATAATTCAGAGAAGGATGAAATTAGTAAGTTCCTTGAGAAGTAACAAGCCAGGCACCTGTGGCTCATGCTGTAATCCTAGCTACTGGAGGAGGCAGAGATCAGGAGGATCAAGGTTAAAAGCCAGGCTGGGCATAAACGTGAGACACCTCCCACCACCTGTCTCAACCAGTAGCTGGGTTTGGTAGAACATACCTGCCTTCCTAGCTATATAAGAAGCATAAATAGGTGATTGTGGTCCAGGCCAGCTCAGGCATACATGTAAGACCCTATCTGAGAAATAACCAAGGCAAAAAGAGCTGGGCATAAGGCTCAAGAAGTAGAGGGTTGACCTAAGGAAGAGATCAGTCAGGAGTTGTTTGGTTTTATTTATTTTTGAGACAGAGGAATTGAGAAGTTAGTGGATAATAGATTTTCAAAAACGGTTTTCCCTTAGCAGAGTGGTATCTATGTAGAGGGTGGCAGCTTGTGTACGTAAAGATTGACTCACCCCTGGAATTTGAAAATGCGGGCTTCTGCATTTGGGAAACTTCTTTACTAGAAATGAAGAAGAGGAAGACAGACAAGGAATCTTTTCCTTACACCCCTAAAGAATCTTTGACAATAAGAATCTTCTCAGGTGACCTACCCCATCTTAGGTGTCTTTATTGAGAAATTTACTATCATCTAGGATGACATCCCTCATGCGTAGCTGCTGCTCCAACCAACAGTTGGCTTTATGTTTTTTTTAAAAGGAAAGTTTTTCAGGATATATTTCTGCATTGTTTTTTTATTCATTCTTTTTTTTATCCCAGCATTAACTCTAAGGGAAAAAATCCTATATAATATTCTCTTTATGTTGCTTAATAAAAATAGATGTTGGTATAATTCTATTGCAATAATTTATGACTGTGCACACAAAACGACATGCATTCATTAATTCACCTAGTCAGTCATTTATTCATTTCTAAGCAGCTACTGAACCTACACCACAATACTTGGGGAATCACCATGCAGATATGAAGAGTCCTGGAGCTCCCTCCTTAGAGACATTCACAGTGTGCAATGGGATTAAGATACATACCAACTATAAAGCAAGCTAAGAGACGGGAAAAGGGCAGTGAAAAAATGGAAAGAGTTCTGGCTGTGGATATCAGAAAAGGTTTCATAGAAGAAGTCATCTCTAAGCTGGACTCTGAAGACAAGTAGCATTTGGAAGGCCATGGCTAGGTGAGAAGGCACTCTGTACATATGCAAGGAGTCTGGGAAAGAGCACTGGACTTGAAGTTTGATGTGAGGGTTTAGATCCGTGTGGGGGAGATAGTCGTAGCTTTGCACACTTGGACAAGCCACTTAACCTCCAGAAGCTTCCTCATTATATGATTGGGACGATTTCATATGGTAGAATGAGGATGAAAGGAGATCATGTTAAGTACATATCATAGTCCTGGCACTTAGTAAATGTGGAATAAACCCAGGTAACGGCTGATTCTGGATCTGCCATTCTGTTCCCATGAGCGTGTCTTCCAGAATGGTGGTTTCGTTGTTTATGCGCTGTGCCTGCAATCATTCTTGCCTGAGGCCCTCTCAGATGTACAGAGGGCCATGAACCCACGAGGACAGAGTATTAGAGATAAAGTTCTTCCGGGGCTCTTCGTAAACTCCTTGGTCCGTGGTAACTGAAAGCTGTTGAAAGCGTGTTAAGGGTAGGGATGCGAAGCCTCCGAAGGTTTGAGATCAGGGGCTGGCTCCACCATGGGAGACAGCATCCGTGCAGGATTCACCATGGCATTGAAGCAGGTGAGGCTTCCAAGTGGGAATCCGAAAATTTATCACAGGCATCAGGACTACTCCACGAGGGGTGACAGTCAGGGCTCAACTCCAAGTACAATAAGGACAAACAGTGATTTATGGACAAGGCAACAGATAAGGAAACTGTATGCATGGAAAATTACTCAGAAGAGACATCAGAGTCAGGGGGATTCTTGCTGAATGGATGGTAGGATTCTTGCTCAAGGCAGGGCAAGGGACTTAGACATTGAAGGGGCGACAAGGAAGTCAGTCAGACATTGAGGATGAGGGAATCCATGCTGAACTTCAGCTTCTTGATAAAAACGTGCTCCGCCAAAGCAGGTATGGAAACTAAAGGTAGATGCCTAGTGAAGAAGATGGTTCAGGGAGACAGATGCAAATATAGTCAGAGGAGGGTTTTTGCCAAGGGGGTAGAATGAGGAAAGAAAAACTGGGAGCCATACTGGTTCAGGAACAAAGGCCATGGACTACTGTAGGACCACAGCCTCACATCATAGGACCTCCCTGGCTGTGTATGATGCCTTCTCTGGCTATGCAGAGCGGTAGGCCCACCCAGCTTTTATTCGAAGTATGGAAGAATGTCCCCAGGCCTCTTATGAAGGAGCCTCCCAGGCTGATATTACGGCCTCACCCTTTCTCTAACCCCAAGCAGTAGAGCTTTGGTTATACTCCCCTGGTTAGAGGAAGGCCATCCATCAGGGTGCACTGTGTTGGAAAAGTCCTTGGGATACAGCCAGATACCATAGATGAAGCCTGAAGTGATGTCTTGTTATAGGCTCCGTGGCCGCTAACACAGTGATTTTCAGGCAGAGATTAAGGTCAGACAGAATGATCCTGTCATGAAACTCCAAGGATGGGAGTTTCCATCATGTTTCCTTTTTCACAGCTGTAATCTATAGTCCATTTTTTTCCCTCTAGACTTGTTCTGATATATCTTATGCCGAGAGACAGTTTGAGTTGCCTTGTCCCTCCAATATTGGAACGCAGTATGTTATTACATGAGCTGCTGGGAATTCAAGCAAAGCTCCAAACCTTTGAGTGATGAGTGGCAGCTGAGGGCAAAAAGTGCTGGGCCTGAGACTCTCCTGGGAGTAGGAGGGGCTTCCTAGTACAGATAACACTTGGTAGGAGTACTGGCCGGTGAGCTCCCCTTCCCCTAGACTGTGCTGTGCAGGGCTGTAATTCCCCAGGCTGTGTACTGGGCTGCCTTTCTTCTCCTTTATCCATCTTTTCTTTCTTTCTCCTGATTCCAGTGCCTTGGTGGAGAAACATGAAACCCAGAGTATTACTGTTGCATTTATGACCAAAAAACAAAACCAAACCAGCCAGTTAGTACTAGGGAAATTTTGTATTTAAAAGGAAGAAACCTACAGTTCAAATAGGGCTAGTCTCAACATATTCTTCTTAACTTCTCCAAAGAGGAGATACATCTGAGCTCAATGCTTCTGAAATTGCTAGTACATGTTCCCCACTGAAAGGTACAATGGATTTCCACGTAAGCCTTGGGAAAATGGGGTTTATAGTTAATGCTTTCTTAGGGCCTTGTCTGAGTCAAAAGCTCCTGAGTGAGTTTTATCCTCTTAAATGGTTTCCTATAAAAGGTTCAGGAATGATAAAAATGACTGCCTTTTAATTCAAGTGGTTTAGTGATATGTGCTTTAGAGATGTGGGTGACCTGCTGGTGACTACTGGAGGGATAATAACATGTTAAAGTTGACAAAGGTAGGAACATATCTTTTTAAGTAACTGTGCATTTCTATAATTAGTTACATATTTAGTAACTATATTTTCTAACATGACTCTTTTACATCAGTATTGTGTATTTACCTGACTCCAACAGCAATGTTCTTTCTTTTCTAGAAGACACATATGAACGTACCCTAATCGTTGATGGGGAAAGTGCAACAATTATCCTTCTGGACATGTGGGAAAATAAGGTACACAGAGCCTGTAGCTCCAGTGGATTCCTTTAGGGATTACCTTTCAATAGGCTGTTTAGTGTGAGGGTGATCTTCATAATGGCTGTTCCAGACAAGGTGGGCTCATTTCCTTGATTAACAGCATTGACTGCTGAGAACAAGGCTATTCTAAGGAACAAGTCATCCACACATGAGGTCTGAAAAACAAAAACACTGCAATGCTGTGCTCTCAGTCCTGTTTAAAAACACAAAAAATGTATTGTTTTAGAGAAAGCTCAAACAAGCATTTTCAACTACATAAAGCCATCTTGTTTGAAGCTGATATCCTCAAGTGATATCTTCAAGATTTGCCCTTAAAAGGTTTTGGGCCTGACAGCATATCCTTGAAATTTTCTGTTTATTGTTTATTGTAATGATTCTTAATGTCATCTCTTGGGAAAGGCAAAAGGAAATTTTGGGGAAACTGAGGAAGGCCCATTTTTGATAGATACAAATTGGAAAGACTGTTTGATAGTGTTGTTATATAATTCATCAACTAAAGCTGTAGAAGAAATTGAAAAAAAAAAACTTTTTGGCATAAGTATCATGCAGACCAGCAATGTTTGCCACTCTCTAGATACCTTATAGGCATGGAAGACCAATGCATTGGAGGAGTTTTCCTTTCTGTTACCTTTAGGATACACACACACACACACACACACACACACACACACACACACACACACACAGAGTTTCTTTTTGAGAAATGACACCTGTGTCCCAGCCAGTCTAAGCTCATGAAAGATCTTCTCATTTCATTAGGGGGAGAATGAATGGCTCCATGACCACTGCATGCAAGTCGGGGATGCCTACCTCATTGTTTACTCCATCACAGACCGAGCAAGCTTTGAGAAGGCATCTGAGCTTCGAATCCAGCTTCGCAGGGCCCGGCAAACAGAGGACATTCCTATAATTTTGGTTGGCAACAAAAGTGACTTAGTGCGATGCCGGGAAGTGTCTGTATCAGGTAAGAGAGTGGTGCTGGTACTGTGAAAACCATCCCCAGATTGCATGCAGGTACTTTCAGATGGTGCTTTTTCCTTTCCTCTTTTGTGAGGCTGGACTGCTACATAGAGTCTTATGTATATATGCCTTTGATTATTCTTTTTTCCATTTTTACTTCCAATCAACCACTTTTATGCTGCTTGTTCTCCTTTGGCCATCTGGTCCACCTGCAGGATAGTAATCTCACCTCCCTTGGGTCCAAGTCCTGCCATTACCTCTCTGTGCTCTAGGCATTTCTTTAGAGAATAGATCATGTTCTGTGAGTTCTTGTTGTCTCAAGCTTTGATTTTTATCCTTCCTTCTTTCTGATGCCAAAAATTCATAGAAGGAAAAATAGAATCTTCATGCAAGGAGGTTGGGGAATTCTGATTTAGGGGAATTTCTGGAAGTTTCATTGAGGAAAAGAATTCTAAGCCAGATACTGGTGGCTCACATCTAAAATCCCACCTACTCAGGAGGCTGAGATCTGAGGCTCTCAGTTTGAAGCCAGTTTGAGCAGGAAAGTCTATAAGACTCTTATCTTTAGCCACCAAAAAGCCTCATTGAACTGAGGCTCAAATGGTAGAGTTCTAGCCTGGCAAAGGCTCAGTGATAGCACCCAGGCCCTTAGTTCAAGCCCTAGAACTGGTGCAAATACATGCACATGAGTGCGTGTGTGTGCGCGCGTACACACACACACACACACACACACTTCTCTATTTTGACTGTTCCTGCTCCCTTTAAGCCCTATAAATAGCCTTCGATCCCCATTCCTAACTTCCTAAATGTCAGAAGATCAGTGTAATAGTGTCACATTTACTTTTCATACTTAGTTCAGAGATGATTCCTGTTTACTGTGTGGGCACCTGAGTGTTCTTAGGGCTCTTAAGACTTCATTGGTTTAATGCAGAGTTGACCCCTGATTTCCCCATAAAAAATAAAATCTATCATATCAGACCTGCTCAGAAGAAAAGAACCCCAGGCAAGATAGTGTACTCAGCTCTTGGGAATGTCTGAGTCCTAGGAGATGATTGTCTATAAGTAGTCATTTCTTTCCAGACATAAAGTTGGAGACATAGCCATTGAACATAATGCGATATTTGAGACTGAGACTGTTCTAGACAAGCTTGAATAGCTTGATGCAACTGTATTATCTATTTATACAGTCCTCAAAGTTTTGCAAACTATCTCATCATCAGTGATTATTTTTGTTTTGACGTTGCTGTAAAGAGAGGAAAGACAAGAACTAGAATTCTAATTTTCAAAATCAGGAAACTGAGGAGAAAAAATTGGCTTTAAAAACAAGTACCTAACAACTTCAGGCGGGGTGGGGGGATAGGGTGGGGGAGGGAAGAGTGTGTGAGGTGGGGGAGGGAAGGGATAGTGGGGCAACAACAAGGAAGGGAAGGGGTAACAGTGATTGGTAAGCAATGTCCTCATTGCCTCACTCACGCAACTGACCCCTCCGCACAGCACCTTTACAATAAAATACAAACAAAATAATTGAAACATTAAAAAAAAGCAAGTACCGATGCCATTGTCCCAGGAAAGGTGAACTTCAAGTTTAAAGCAACCTCACTTAATTTCTTCCATCTCTGTTGGGAGAGATGTTTACAAGCATTAGAAATGTTTTATGAAGAACTTAGCCTAGAATTTGGCATATAGTAAGTCTGTAATAAATGATGGCTTTGGCTTTTGCTTTTAGAATGAATAGCACTATATTTGGTGAAATGGGACTTCACACAGTAAATTTATGGTGGACCAGACATAAAGTCCATCTTTTCTGGTGCAGGAGGCTAACCGGAAGAAGGGGGCCTGTCACCGCAACCTCCTCCGACTGACCTCGCTACCCTAAGTCCTCAGGTTTGGATGTTTCCTGGGCAGGATGGGGGCCTGCAACCCCTGACGTGTTTCTTTCCTTCTTCTTCCCAGAAGGGAGAGCGTGCGCTGTGGTTTTTGACTGCAAGTTCATTGAGACCTCTGCAGCTGTCCAGCACAACGTGAAGGAGCTGTTTGAGGGCATTGTCCGGCAGGTCCGCCTCCGCCGGGACAGCAAGGAGAAGAATGAGCGGCGGCTAGCCTATCAGAAAAGACGGGAGAGCATCCCCAGGAAAGCCAGGCGCTTCTGGGGCAAGATTGTAGCCAAAAACAACAAGAACATGGCCTTCAAGCTCAAGTCCAAATCCTGCCATGACCTCTCTGTGCTCTAGGCACGCAGCATCATGCGGATGTTCTCCTGCTGGACGTCGTCGCCGCGGGCCGTTGGGACCAATAATCTATATTAGATTGGTACTTAAGTCTTGTTAGATACGGCTTCCCCCATTGCAGTTGGGAACTAACGTGATCCTCACGGGCAACAAAGTGCATGGGAAACAAAAGATCTTTGTCAAGAGTCAGGATTTATTCATAGGGAAAACCTGGCTTTGCTACTTGGACTGCCAGGACTCATTATAGGATGTGTTTTGGGTTCATGTGAGTTTTCCTCCTCTCTTTTGGATAATAGAGAATTGAAGCTTACGAAAGAAAAGAAGAATACCTAGGAAAGTAATTTTTCCATAATTAAACTTTTATCCAGTATTCTTATAGGCAAATGGGCATAAGTATAGCAAAGGTGCCAAAAGGTTTATAGAAGGAGGAGAACTTTCTTTTTGGTCAGTCGTGGGGGCTTGAACTCTGGCCTGGGCACTGTCTCTAAGCTCTTCAGCTCAAGGCTAGCACTCAGCCATTTGAGCCATAGCACCACTTCCAGTTTTCTGGTGGTTAATTGGAGATAAGAGTCTCACAGACTTTCCTGCCTGGGCTGGCTTTGAACCATGATCCTCAGATCTCAGCCTCCTGAATAGCTAGAATTATAGGCATGAGCCACCAGTGCTCGGCTCAGAGGAGAACTTTCTACATACTTTACCTTCAAGGAGACAGATCTGTGGAACGGTGTTCATTCTGGTCATGACCATTGTTGCTCCATCTAACTGTGAAAAGAAGCGATATCCTTGCTGGAAACTAAAGCTTCGTTAGCAATTTTTGCCTAATGTCCACATGATCTGTAGGCTTGGAAATGGATATGTGTACTGCTTCTAGGTTCAAAAATTGTATTTTTACTTATATGTCTTGTTTTATTTAGGAGAAAATTACTTTCATCAGTGTCTACTTAGTTAAGCCACTTTTTGTGTTTCATTATTTTTGAAATCATGGAGCCATCATAAAAATATTTTTAAAATCTGAATTATGAATAACTTGTGTAACATGCCAAATTTTTAAATGTAGTCTAAGTCTGAAATTTTATAAAACATATAACATAAAGCCTCCCAGTACTTTGGGTTGACTCTTCTATGCTACAGCTCTGCTCTATTTATTATTATTTTGCAAAATAATCATTTTAACATTTGATAACGCATATTTATGAACATATTTCTTATTAAGAAAATGTCCATTTTATTACCATTTTCTATCTTTTTCAAAATATGCGAGTTTTTAACCTATATATCTTATAATAAAAGGAATAAAATCTTATAATAAAAGGAATAAAATCTTTGAGAAGCATTGTTTTTCTCCCCAATCAAGATAATTATGATTATTTTGATATAGCTTTCCAAATAAGCCTTGAAAGGGACAAACCTATTGAACTATTTCTTTTTCTTGTTAACAGTGTATACTCCTCTGTTTTTAATGAGTATTCTGGACATTTCTCTTTGGTAATCATAAGGTTATTTGGCGCTGATTCAATTGGGAATCTAGATGGTAAGTTGTAGTCAAACAAAGCTGGTTGACCTTTTACTTTCGTCTGGCAAATTCCCGACTGCACAGATGGCCTTGCTTTACTCCCTGAAGGCTCATCGACTTTAGCTGGGCTAAAGCATTAGGGGAATTTAGAAGAGATTAAGGGAAATGCGTTAGTGATTGTCAGCCTGAGCCCTGGCCAGACAGAGCCTTAACCAAATTCTCTTCGGTACTAAGATGGTTTCACATTACTCAGCTGCCTTTGCTCCAGGGGCAGGTATGACACACTGGCGGGAACAGAACCTTCTAAGGTCTGCTTTCACATTTTCTCTGGTCCCCATGAAACCCTGTCTCACCTCCCTGTTTTCTGAGTTCGTGGGTAGACACACTAGTGACATCATGGGGCCTAAAGAGTATCTAAAGCCATGCAGGTTTACAGGGTGTCTCTACCATTCTGTTGGCCATTTATTTCTTCTTTTCCCAGTCTAGGAGTAAGTGAAATGCTTTCAGATATCCATTTTCTTACCTGCAAAATGGGTTTCTTAATGCAACACACCTTGTAAGTTCCTTGGGAGATGAATATTTTTCAATCCTTCGTTCAGTAAAGGGTTCAAGATATGTTAACTTTGTTGGGCAAGGTAGGTTCATGATTGTGATCCCCGGTCCTTCAGAGGGGGAGATAAGAAGAATGTGGCTCCAAGCCAGCCCAGGCAAAAAAGTTGGCGAGGGAGAATTAGGAAGCCTGTGTTCTGAGGACAGCCAAAAGCAAAAAGACACAAGACCCTACCTAAAAAATAAAACGAAAAAGAAGCGAAAGCCTGGTTCAAGCGGTACAGCACATGTACCAACACATGAGGCACTGCAGTAGTTTAAACTTCAATGCTGCCACAAGGAAAAAGATGGTTAGCTTTCACTGCTAGTTTATTCTACATAAATGAGAGTTTGTTTTATGACTGTTACCCACATCAAATGGCAGCCCCATTCAGATCAGTGGCCACATTGTCCTTTGCTTTTAATCCCTTTTTTTTGCAGTGCAGTGCCATGCAGAGGTTGGGACTTTTATAACTGTTTCCTCCAGGGGCTCTTTGAAGGAAACAAATCTCATTTCACAACAACAGCAAGACTAGTTCAGCGTACTAATAACCTTCCATGTTTATCCAGATACTAAGTTTCTACAGCAGAACTGAAGTTAAAAATGTGACTCTTGGTCAGTTGCAAATTCTGTCTACAAAATGGTTTCCACATACAGTACGTGCATGCACGTGCACGTACACCCACACCCACACACCCTACACACCCATTCTTTACACTATTTCCTATTCTCAGACTCAGTAACTGTTAGATCTCTGGAACCAGCCAACTGGCCAACAAGTCCCCTGCCTCTTAGAGGCAACTCAGTACTGTACCTGAGTACTTTAGCTTGACCTGGAAGAGACTTTCTGGTTAAGAGCTCTATAGCCCTTAAGTCACACAGACCTGGGTTTCCACAGTTACTGAGAGGATGGCCAGGAGTGAAGTTCCTTTTCACTCCCAGATTCAGTTTCCCATCTGTAGTACAGGGATAGTAGTAACACCCTCTTCCTGGGGTCGTGAGGTCTACATGAAACCTGCAGAGGTGTCAGCTATCTTCAGGAAGAACCGTGGCTCATCCCGCTCAAATGGAGCACCCAGCCTTTCCCTCGCACAGGCTGTTTCGATCTTATCCCACACCCAGAGCCAACTGTGCTAGGAATATAATGATGACTAAGGCAGTGTCCTTGTCCTCAGAAGCCTTGAGAGCAGTAAATCTGTCCCCCAAAGCTATAGAAGGTGGCATTAGGAATAAGAAGATTAAAAAAAATATGTGGGAGTAGTATGTTTGGAAAAGACTGGATTTGTTTCCATTAGATAAAATTCAAATGTAAGAAAAATTATTAAAATGACTGAATTAGCCAGGGAAAAGGATAGTGGGCTTAAAAAATTCCATTCTGGGGGAACTGGGAACATTGGAGAAAGGTTAGTTTTTATGCAGTCTGCATTCTTGCTTACTCACACAGGGATTATTCAATGCAGAAAAGAAGATGGGTGACTAAAACTGACCGCACTCGGGAGCTCCTGTTCATGCAAGGGGCTGTGGGAACACACAGTGGGGGCGGCAAGGCAGTTTGCTGTCAAGAAGCCTATGATAAGGGTGCATGGTGGCAGGGAATGGGAACAATGGCACAAAAGCCTAGAGTATGCTGTGGAAGATTATGATAGCCACGGGAGACTCAAAGTAAGGCAGAAGAGTGTTAGTGGAAGAAAGCACTCCTTTCCTGGCTAGTGCCAGGACACACACACACACACACACACACACACACACACACACACACACACACACACGCTTTGGAGGAAGCAGCAGTTTTGAAGATAGCTCAAGACTTCCCCAAGTAGGGTTGGATAAAGGGATGAAAAAGGGAAAGTTTGGCCTATGGAAAGAAAATACAGGTAGCAAAAGAGAATGCCTTCTTTGTGTAGTATCTTTACAATAAAAAATATATATTAAAAAAGAGAATGCCTGTTTAGAAAAATAACAGGTGTACAACTTGATAAGGAACTTTGCAACAGGTATAGACAAATATGTGACACCTGGAGTTACACATATTAACATTTTTTGTTTGTTGAGCAGTGTTCCTCCCAAGTTCATTACGTCTACTTCACCTTCAAAATGTGACCTTATAGAGACCGGGGACCTTTGCAGATGTAATTATTGAAGTTTCTTGGCATGAAACTATGGCTGGGCCCCCAATCAGATGTGTGGCACCCTTAAGACAGGAGAGGAATTTGGGTACAGAAAAGATCCACAGGGATGAAGCCCCTGCAGAGGTTGGGCAGATGCATTACTAGCTAAGGAACATGTGGAGCCCCCAGCACTGGACCCAGAAAGATGTCAGCTGGGACATGGGCCTGCAGAGATTGTGATTTGGGCGTTCTAGCCTCTCTAGACCCCTAGGGGCATCTTTTTTTGTGTGCCATTTTAGCCATTAAGATCATGATAATGTCAGCAGCCACAGAGCACTGATTATTTGGGACCAGGTAACTTCCTTCACCTGAAAGGCCAAAAGAGCAGTGGCATATCAAGAATATCATTAGGACTAAAAGCGAATTCTTCCCGTATTCACTTATTAACTTACTGTCTGTCCAAGGGGTGGAGAGGGAACAAACTGGCAAGATAAGGTGGAGAGCTCATTGTAGATGGGCGCTCTGGGCTGAGCAGTGTGGACTTGGTTCAGAAGGCAATGAGGATCATTAACGTTTCCAAACAGGGCAGAGCTGGGATCTGCTTCAAGGTGTCATTCCTGAATATTGAAGCTGGCTGGCACCAGGGGGCCTGGGTCCATCGGGTGGGGGCGGCGGGGGGAGGAGTCTTGAAGGGGAGGAGCCTTGAAGTCTCAGGACTGGAGTGCTGCCTGCAGCGTTTCAGGTAGAGGGAAGGACATCTATCCATCACTGTGGAGGCCTCAGCTCAGGGACCGCTGTACCTATGGTCTCCAGGCTCAGGCAGTGCCTGTGTCTGGAGCACCAAAGGTTTCCTATCAGAAGTTCGCTCAAAGCAACTATCTGATGCCTACAATGTCAGATAACAAGGCAATAGGACTAAGAGTGAGAGGAGGGAGCTGCAGGAGACAAGATGTCAGGGCAGTAAGGACATGAATTCTAGGTTGATAAACAGTCATAGACCCCAAATGGTCACAGTAAATGGTCCAGTCCAACCCATGGGAAATGAGCAAATGAATATTAGATTCCCATTTTCTGATCCTGTGGTTAGGGAAAAATAAATGTATGTAAACTCAAGACTTGGCATGTTCTCAGTAGATGAATGGATCAAGAAGATGTGGTATAGATACATAATGGAGCTCTATGCTTCCATCAGAAAGAATGACATTGCCCTATTCATAAGGAAATGGAAAGACCTGGAAAAAATTATATTAAGCAAAGTAAGAAAAAGTAGGTGGTAGGGCTGGGAGGGTGGCTCAGTGG